ATTGCTGACCAATAAAATTTTAACATGCTTTGATGCCCCTGAGTGTGCTATTTCGAACGGTGAAAACCGCAGCTCTCAAACCCTTTCCATTCGGGAATTATTCAAAAAACAACCACGCGCACTATAATTTGAAACCGATAGTAGTTCCAGTTATTCACTTAATTTATTTCTATAAAGATAAGATAATAATAAGTTCTTGCATGAAATAGCAAATTAAAACAAAAAAACAAACATAATAAATATTTTTTCATACAAGAAAGGCTTGAATTAACACGTCATGTTTTTGACCATATTAGTTCTGTTTCGTATAATCGAAAAAATATATTCATGATAGTAAAAACAACATATGATTAGGCATATAACGAAGACGTGAAAGAAAATGCGCAACGAAAATGTAGGGAATAAGTGATACTTATCATAAAAGGCAAGGACGTTTACATTTGGCAATCAATTTTCGCAACATTATGAATGCAAAAAGTGTTATCCAGTTGTTTTTGGATCTAAACAGGTTCTTCTAACAGTCGGTGTAAGTCCTACAACACTAAATTGATGTCTGATTCAAGCATTTATTGCTGGAATCGAATGAATTTCTTCAAGTACTCTCGAATACTAAGGCGATGCGTCGACGTTTGATTTCAAAAATATAAGAGCTAGGTTGGCAGCTCTGATTTCGAATAAAAAAATAAGCAAGTATTGTAATAGATAGAAAAACTACACATAATCAGCCATATATTCCAATCAAATAAGTTTCGATTTTATGGTTTATTATGTTCGTTTCAAAAATGCACAAGGACTTGTCCTTTGTATAGGATATATATTAATAGATATTTTATCGATCACTGGAAGATGGTGAAAGGTTAAAGATCGATAACAAACTAATTATACAGTTCATATTCGATGACAGGATGGATCTAGATAAACAATTGATGAAATCAGACTACTAGTAAAGGTTCATATTCATCTAATAGGCATATTGTTGTAATCTGATAGGATAACTGTCAATATTTAATCTATCAACTAGACAACTAAAACTAAGAAGAGAATATTTGAAATAGTAAAAGTATAGACTTGTAAATTCAGCAATATTTTAACAAGTACAGTTTGTAAATGATGAACATAGATTATAAGAATATACATAATATTTTAGAATTATTAATACTACTAATTATGAATAAAATTTTTTAGTCTAATAATCTTGAATCTAAGTAAATAAAATTCTTTCAAAGAATCTAGGAAAAAAATATAACAAAAAACTAGAAATCTCTTGTGAAAGATATGATTGTCGGTCATATATTTAATGTTATTGTTTTCTAGGGTTTTTGTTCTAGCGACGAAGTGATCTAATTGAAATAGCAAGGATATACATTGGTAATCAACTCGTCAAGCTCTATGAAAACATACATAAATAGATTAAAAATCGAATTCACTAGAATTCTGTGTTCACCACATCTTATTTGTCATTGATTCACGATGTCTCATTTCTTTAGGTTATTTATTACTATAAAACTTGTCGAGCTGTTGAATCAATACGAAAATACTATCAATACTATCTATTAAGTGATTAAGAGTAATTCGATTTGCCTTTTTTGATTTCTTGTTCATGTTGATTCGAAATCAAAGGAGCATCTGTAAGTTTGTAAAAACAAGATAGAAAGTAAATTTTATTATAAGTTTCAATTAATGTAATATCGATAACAACGAGTATCTGTCCAGATTTCCGTAAGATTTTAATCAAACTTTTTCAAACCAAAATCATAATCCTATTCGTTAATATAGAAACAAAATGCTGTCGACTTATACAATATTATTATTTTTTTGTTTGTCTTGTTTTTTTAATACTTATTCATGCAAATCATTTTTAATTTTAACAACATTTAGCATATAAGGAGATTGTATGAATTCCATTACTCCACATAGATGAATTAGTCTTTGGGCAGTCTATGACTTGTATTTTTGTAGTAGACTTCCGGCCATTATATATTCGAAATAAGAAAGGAATACTATTTTATTGATTTTGAAAACAATTACAATTAGAGTAATTATTACAAATTATTACGAAAAACATCCATAATTATCAAGAGAAGATATGAGAAATGCATATTCTAAATGTAATATTACATGAAATTAAGATGTAGCATAATTAGTTGTTATGAATTTCGATGATAATTTTTATTGTTCGAAGTTCTTTGTAAACTTGATTGGATTTATAAATTTACTGTTCGTAATCTTTAAATTTTTGAATTCTGAAAGACGAAAATATCTATCAATTGATTATTGCATGTATATATTCATTGAATTACTTCACTATTCATAGTTTATTTTCCTTGAATACAACGTTTTTTTTTTGTAGTCTAATAAGAAAGATTTTTTCATAAACGATTGTTGTTCTATTGATGTATGATATTGAATCTGTTTGATATTATGTTTTATTCATTACAGAATTTATTTTCAAATATCTATGATTTTGATTCTATATCTTGTTCACGTTCTTAATATTCATATTTTTCTTAATGAATTTGTTCGACAGTTCTTTAAATTTGAAATTCTATGCCTTCGAAGATATTTTAGATTATTATTTTTCCATTTATCTTATTGTCATATTAATTCACGACTAGTCTTCGGTTCGTTTGGTATAACAATTATCTAGAAAAAAAATCCACGTCAATAAAACAAACAGTCAAAATAATCTCTTGTAGAAGTGCACAACGTTACAATAGATGATTTTTGTTTATATTATCAACGTTACGCAACAATGAATATTATAACAGATAATCCTCTGGTCATAACCAGCAAAAAACAAACGAATGAAAAATATTTGTTTATATGTTATGTCAATAAGGTGCAAGCACTTATTTTCTATTCGATAAACACCATTAACATTAATCTAAGTATTCATCATTATATATTATTAAGTTTTTGATTGATGTTCAATTAATACTCGCATAACAATTTTGACATGTCATTAATCATATATTACCGACTAACTTGCAAATATCCACATAATTAATAAATAAAATTGGAAAAGTAAACGAACATGAGTTGCATCTCTCTGTACATATGACTTAGAATTGATTCTTCATTAAAATTCATTCATTGTAAGTGATGTAATACAAAGCTCAGCATGATATGATCTTGATGATGTTCTATTAAGACTCGTCTTTTTCTTTTAACTTGAACAATTTACTAAACCAAATATAATTCTATCCTCAACTCTTTTCACATCCAAGATTTTTAATCATTATAGTTAAAGTACAGACGCCTAACTTTCCAAGAACAAATATAAATAGATCGTTTCATTTTTATGATAGTATGATTTAAACTAATTTTTTTTCCGAAAAATTTAGCTTTTATATTCATTTTTATGTTTTCTTTGATAAATGTTTATTAAATCTCATTGATTCTATAAACAGACACAAATAATAGAAGTCTATAACATTTTTTTT